CCAGTACCCTGGGGTGTGGTAGAGGTGACACCCTCGCCATTCTGACTTTCTCGCATCCGGTCAGCCCTACTGCACAGCCATTTGGCGATCTGAAGGAAATCACCACGATTTCCTCTACGAAAACTACCGTACAGAGAAGCTCAGCAAGTCTGTTGAGGGTGGTGCCGGCGTGTATGTGTTGCTCGTTGCGTTGCATTTGGGTGCTTACTGACCCTGTCACAGTGATTCCTCGATGAACCCCGAAGACCTGGCATCTCAGTCTGTCCGTCTCAAGGAAGAGCAACTCCGTCGGGAGGAGGAGAAGCTCCGCGAAATCGAAAGCAAGGTCCAGCGCGAAATCGCCGAGAAGCGACAGGAGCTCCTTGCACGCGAGTCTCAGCTGCGCGAGATCGAGGCCCGCATGCAGCGCGAAGCCAGTGCCGCGGCTTCGGTCCCGACGCAGGAGACGAACCCCGGTGCCAACGGAGACCACAACTAGGAATCAGAGTCAAAACCTCTGGTGGCCACCTGAAAATTTCCCGGTCAAGTCGTGGCTTTGGCTGTTTTCTACTTTGGCGTTGGTTTGTCGTGTTGCTGTTGCGTCGAGAGAGAAAGAGAGAACGAACATTATTCCCCAGCTGCTACGCGTTTTCTTTCACTAACAAAGGTTTCAACCCTCCCCCAAACGGCCGACAACTGCGACGACTGGAAAGTGAGATATTGTTGCAGGCCTGCGGCCGCACCCGGCTCGTGCGCTGGGGCAGGCATCCCGTTCATACTGTGGGCTAGAGACCTGCCGATGTCTGGCAAGACAACGGCGGATATTAGACAGGCAACGCTCGGGGTTGGATGCTGGGTCGAACGACGCGCTTGGTTGTATGTCTAGTGCTCCAACCAAGCGTTGCACTCCAAATACAAGACAAAGCGCAGCTGTCTCTCCATACTGTCTACCCGCTGCTTTCTTAAAATGGACTTTAATGCAAATATTCATCAATGTAAAGGTTTTGGGGGAAATATTTAGCACGCGGGCAGCGCCGGCTGCATATGTGCCGTGATTTTCCCGGACCGTGGCGAATGCGTGAACACTTGATTCTCTTTGGTGCGTGAGTACCGATTCAAACTGTTTCAATTGCTAGAGAGTCCTGTTTAAAGAAAGCTAACGCCACCAATCCCAACGCACGCCTAAAAGTACTTGACTAAAGAAATAACCACAAAATTGCTTCACAACCGAGCGGGGGGGGGGTGGGCCAGTTCCATCGTAGTGCGCCCACAACTGGGATTCTGCCTCCGCCCCCATCGTCCCGTCACGCTCCCTAAACCCTTAGTTGTTCTGCTGACTGTTGAGAATGCGCAGGATGGCGAGGAAGAGGTTGAGAATGTCCAAATACAGGCTGATGGCGGCGGCAATCTCCTCCTCGACGTGGTGCTTGCGCATGATGAGCTGGGTGTCGACGAGGATATACGCGCTGAAGATGAGAGCGGCGGCGCCGCCGTAGACGAGCTCGGCGGTCGAGTTGTAGGGCAGGAAGGCGGCCATGAGGCCGAAGAGGAGGAGGGCCCAGAGGGAGCCGAAGAGGTAGGGGGCCCACGAGGTAAAGTCGTACTTGGTCTGGCAAGCGAAGAGGGTGAGGAAGACGAAGATGCCGGCCGTCAGAACGACGGCGTTGAGGACGATGGGGGCCTTGTAGAACGAGACGATGACGGAGACGGTGTAGGCTTCGAGGAGGGTGAAGCCCGAGAGGAAGAGGAGGTTCGTTGGATACGACTTGCGCTTCCAGAAGGTGAGGAGCATGAAGGCGATGGAGCCGAAGAGCTGCAGACGAGTGGGAAGCGCATGTTAGTCTTGCATGTGGGAAACAACCACGGTCTGGGAGGGGACTACGTACGGAAATCCAGACGACGCCGGGGTGGGACTGAATCCAGGACTTATAGCCCTCGCTGAAGAAGCTCAGGGCCGAGACGGCGCCGGTGACGATGAGCTGGACAGTCAGGATGGCGTAGACCTTGCGGATAAACTGCATGCGGATGTCGATGGTGGCCTCGGCGACGGAGCCCCCAAACTTGAAGTCGTCGGGCAGGTCGCCGTCCTCATCCTGACTGGCGCGCGGCGCGCCGCCGCCGAAGAGACGAGCCTCATCCTGAGCGGCGCTGCTCTCAGCCTGGTAGGCGGGGGGCGCTTGGGAGTAGAGACCGTGCTCGTCGGCATCGGGGTCGTGAGTTGGCGCCTGTTGGTACTTGGTGTTGGCAGCCATGGTAGAAGCTGTCGGTGTCACCCGCAGTTGTGTCTTGCCGCTGTGTTTTTTTCTATGAGACGAGATGGAATTATGTGAAGTTGATGGCGGAGGTAGGGTGGTTATCAGCTGTTGATTGCGTGTTCACAGAGCGCGAATAGGTTCGTAGGCAAAAAGGAAGCTTCGGGGGCGTCAGACGGATGAATGTCGTCAAGCGCACGTCCATATGGTCACATGTGGGGTAGTGTGGCTGTGCTGACTTTCTCGATTGCCTCAGCGGCAAAGAGATGTGGCTGGAAGAGTCTGCTCGGCTCCATGGCAAGACAGCCACTCAACGGTTCTGAACCAACAGTCATTAACACGAACTCACACTGTGTGGTACTCAAAGGCATGGATAGACGAGTGCGCAGTAGCTCAAATCACTAGATGTACTTGTAGACCATCTGCTGCTCTCAAACTTCGTTCGGGAGTCAAGACATTTATGAGCATCATTCGGATGTAACAGACGACACCATACTGGCCAGGTCCAGATCCGGGCAACACATCGGTTTCTCCCTCGACTTCTCAGCCTGCAGCCGACCTGATTCAACAGTGGAGGGGGACGGCAGTTTCCCCCACGCATTGCACTGCATTTCACCTCTCTCGGACTTGGCTTGCGCTTCTCCGTGGGCACCAGCAGACCCATGCGTTGAAGCATCAGGCGGCCAGCCAGGAGGGGTGTATGTGGCCTGGCCTGGCCTCTGAGCTGCACTCGCGTTACTTGGTCTGGACAGGGGCGGAGGGGCGCAGTGAGGGGCAGATGTTGAAAGGTTCGTCTCGAGGAGAGCACGCAAGAAAAGGGGCGCTATTAGACCCCTCGAGACGGGTTTGAACAAAGCCCCCCCCGCCAGAAGGGATAGATTCCGCAATGCTGAGCGCTGCTTTAAGTCTGATCCTGCACTTGCCGAGGTAGGTGTGGCTTGCAGCACCAGCCGGCCACCCGTAAATCCCATACATAGTTAATTTGGGCTTCGAACATGTCATCTAATATAGAGGTGTTCACAGCCGGCCATCACATCTTCAATTACATTGGCTAGCTGCGTCGACCTTATGGTAAGAAATTATTGTAAGTAATGGGCGCTGGTTGACTGGCGAGGTGAAGGCCTCTGAAAAGCAGCAAGGACGCTAGACCAAGCTTGGCCACCCTGCGTGGTAAACCGCAAACGCCCAGCACACCACCCACTTCCTGGGAGCCCCTCTCGCCCCTGGCTAGCCGCTAAGATTGGGACCCCGAAGGACCCCTATCCATGGACCACACCCTGTCACAGGCTCTCAACCCCGTCAACTCCCGTGCTGCAAAGGAGGCTCACCGCCTTCAGTTTCGAGGCCGGCTCCTCCCAAGTCGACGCCCCTGATCTCCCAAAGTTGTGGGCCCTGAGCAGGGCCCAGCTCATCTGCCCCAGCATGCCCGCCAAACGAACCAACCAGCATGTCTCAATTCGAGCAAAAATTGTGATGGGTCGGATCATACGCATGGAGTCGACATCTACGGCCAGCAAGCACCACCGCCGCAGGGGAGGGAAGGGGGGCCCAGGAGAAAGCCAAAAAAAAAAGTCCACCTTGTCGAGCTGGCCTAATGTACTTCCATACCCTACCTTTTACCTTTGGTAGGCTACGTTACCTTACACTGACGAGCAAGGCTTCAGGTTCCTCGGCCCCCCATCTAGCCAAGCGAGCCAGCAGAGCACCTGGCAAGTCAACAGGGTAGCACAGCAAACCACGACACCGCATCGACCTCTGCATCCTGATCTTGATCCTCAACCTAGTTTCACCTCCTCCAACCTACTCTTTCTCTCCCCCCCCCGTCCCCCTGCTCCTCCTCAACGACGACAGCTCGTCCTCTCCCCCCCCCTCCCCCCTATCGGCTTGCCAGCTGTCTCGACAACTTCCCCCGCAAAACGCTCGTTTTTTTCCCAGACCAGGTCTTTGCGAACCTACCTCTCGCGCATTCCAACTACCAACCACCCATTGGTCGCTGGGAACTCGACTCGCATCACTCCGATCGCCCCTCCTGGTCCTCCTACCCTCCATTGTGCCTTTGGTCGCCAGCATAGCGCAGTAGTATATGTGGAAGTTGAGACTTTGTCTGTTGCGTCTTGTTACTATATTCGAGCTATCGCCTTTCCCGCAGTCTTGATCGAATCGCTCCCAACCTTGGGACCGACCTGGCCACTTCGAACAGTCCTCCTCTCCGACACAGCAAGATCTCGACGCGCAGATCTCCAATCTCCCACACCATGGCCGACGTCGACGGCTCCGTCCTCCAGCCGGCCCAGCTTCAGCCTGAGGTCGAGGCTCAAAATTCCCCAGAGGTGCAGTTCCAGGACTCGCCCCAAGATCGGGCCGTCTCTCGCACCGCTACTCCAACCGTTGAGCGAAACCCAAGCCAGAAGAAGCCGCAGAATATGAACGGCCCATTATACATGCAGTCAGCCGGCAACAAGAACGTACGATTCGTGCCTCGCAACAGAAAGCAGGACGACAGCGCTCTGGTTCTCTTGGCTCGCTGGTTCGTTGAGAATCAGATTGGTACGTCTCACGCCCAATCCCAGGATCTTGCCCATTGCGTTCCCATTGCGTTCCCATCATTCTCCCTTCTGCCTAAGCTGCCTCGTGGTGGAGGTCTCAGTGCCCCAAGCCACCAGGTGCCACGGCAGCCCTTGTCAAACATGGCAACTGAAACCCCACTATGCCCATTGACAGTGATCACCATGCTAACGTCTTCGTGCAATGCTAGGCCTCTCCTTCAACCTACTCGCCCTCCTTTTCCTTGCCCACTACTTCATCCCCAAGGCGCAACCACACACTGCCAAGTTCTTCACCCTGTCATACCGCAACCCCGCCACGGGCAGTTACAAGAATGGTTGCGACGACATGTACTTCATCGCCTTCTGCGTTATTCTCTTCACTGGTCTGCGCGCCGCCACGATGGAATACGTTTTGGCTCCTTTTGCCAAGACATGGGGAGTGCGCAAGACCAAGGACCTGACCCGCTTCAGCGAGCAGTCCTGGATGCTGGTGTACTATGTTATCTTTTGGTCAATGGGCCTGGTATGTTGACCTGCAGGCGTTTGCTGCGCAAGCGACTTTATGCATGTATTGACGATTTCCAGTATATCTACTGCACTTCATCATACTTCCTCAACCTCCAAGAGATGTGGACCAACTGGCCAGTTCGCGAGCTGAATGCGCTCAACAAGTTCTACACATTGGCCCAGTCAGCTTTCTGGATCCAGCAGATTATTGTTATCAACATTGAGGAGCGCCGCAACGACCACTGGCAGATGCTTACCCACCACATCATCACTCTTGGCCTGCTGTTCTCGTGCTACGCTTACCACCAGACGCGCGTCGGCAACGTCATTCTCGTCATTATGGACGTCGGTGATATTTTCCTGCCGGTATGTGGACATTGCGACTCGCCTGCCAGCTGGGTATCCAGATGACTAACCGAACCACAGCTCGCCAAGTGCCTGAAGTACATGGGCTTCACGACCGTTTGCGATGTAATGTTTGGCGTCTTCCTGACCTACTGGATTGTCGCCCGCCACATCCTGTACCCAATGGTCTGCTGGTCCATTTACACTGATATTCCCAATATCATCGGCGAGGTCTGCTACAAGGGCTCCGATAGCAATCTCCAAGGTCCCTTTCCGGTGCCCGAGACCTCGAGCTATCTCCTCGAGCCGTTCTGGGACTCGGAGGGCATGGTCTGCTTCGGCAAGAAGGTCACGTGGTACTTCCTTGTACCCCTTCTGCTGCTGCAATGCCTCATCTTTGCCTGGTTCGTCCTCATTGCCCGCGTTGCTATCAAGGTGATTCGTGGTGGTAGCGCCGAGGATAACCGCAGTGACGACGAGGCCGAGGAGGAGGATGACTTTGTATACGAGGAAGCTCCCGCTCGAGGAGGAGGTTGGTGTTGAAGAGCTCCACCTCAAGAGCTGGGAACGCAGGTCTGGCGTCAAGAGGCAGGCCAGCGCATCGGGCGTCAGCCTGCCGAGCCACAGCGACAGGAAGGAGCTGCTTGGCCGGATTGGTTGCGAGAAGCAGGTCGACTAAACCGACACTGCGCTTTCCGGAGTGTGAGAAGTGTGTTTACCGGCGTCAAAATGTTGCGCCTCACGATCAGGAGGGATGGGTGGAATGGACAAGGAGCTACGGACGGGTCCTGTGTCGACAGGACTACGCCATCCAGCTATAGAGCGTTCCTTGATGACCAAATTTTTTCTGCTGGCAGAGTATAGACCAGCCTTTTACACGGAGACATGTTGGGTCTTGTTCTCCTGTTGCATCATACGATATCACCCTCAAGACAAGTCATTTGGCGTTCTGGTTCAATGTCGTTTTTCTGCATGCAATGATGTCGATGCCGAGTCCGAATCACAACAGTGAAGAGCGTATCCCAGGTGCTTCTCGCAAGGAAAAAAACAATTCCACCGCCTAGGCCTGTCACAAGCGCAACTCAAGTTCAAGCGGTATTGTTCCGTGTCGACACACTTACACCTTCGCGTATCGTAGAGAGCAGAGACCTGCGGGAATATAAGTATAGATCTGGAGAGATAGATTACACTGGCCATGCTGATTTCTTTAACCGACGTCCAATTGAATTCATATTAGCGCAGTCAAGTTTGAACGTTGTGAGGGAGTGGCTTAAGTAGGTAGCGCTCGGCCTTGGCCGAGGGCGGGCTCATAGCCAGGTTTCTGATCTCAGGTCCACAGCAATTCCAGCACCCCAAGACCGATGCAGAGGCCGATTGGCGTGTATGTTACTCCTCAGGCCTTTTAGACGACAGTGATCATCGGACGCCGGTCTTTGACTTGCTCTTCATTACCGCCGAGCCGGGGCTCTAGGCCCGAAGTCTCTGACCAAGCTTCATTTCGGTTATTGTGGGGCAGACGGCACACGTCGGTCCCCGGACGTCGCAAGTCCCGGGGGCCCGCCCTTCCCATAACGTGCCACATCGCGACATCATAAGGGGAGGGGGCACAATTGCGACAATGCCGGGCAACTTGAGCATAATGTCAGAGTGGCGTCTAGATACACGTGTGAAGAGACCCAGGGAGCTAATTATAGCGATGTCTCGATTGACAGCTCTCTATTCTCTGGTCCATCGATCGAGGTTTGTCTATTCGAGACAGCAACTTTTTAGACTTAACAAGAAGATACGCGGCAAACACACGTGGTATTATTTTATAAACCAGTGATATAAATGCATCTCTATGTCATTTCCGCCTCGCCTAAGTGCTCGGTGAGGAGTTATCCTTCCACCAAAGGTGAAGTGCACACTAGCCATTGATCAATCGCACCCAGTTTGAATGAGATGAGGTCATCCTATGATTTCAGCGAGAGTACTCGTCTTCATAGTAGTCGTATAGTGGGACTGCATGCACCGCTCTGGTTGCTGAGACCTCGCGGCGCATGCGGATCATCGCGGCCTTCGGAGCCCCGGCCGTCCGCAGCGTTTGGTATTTGCAACCGGCGAGCAGCGGAAAGAGCAAGGATAATAGCCTGCCATTTAGCTATTTCGTTGCATGATACATTGCCGTACGGATCCCAGAGCGGACGCGAGGGGTGGCGCTAATGAGGCTATGAATCCCAGGGTCAATAAGAACCATCATCCAGCGTCAGTCTGCTGGTCAAATTTGTTTCCTTCGGATCCTTAAGACAGCGTTCTCGCAATTCTCTTCCTCTGTCTAAACATTCTGCCTCTACCATCACACTCCAGGGTTGGCTTCTGATCCTATTATTCGGATTGTATCACACGATGAGTGAAGAATCGATCGGCAACCCTGCTGCCAGCGATGGCGGAACCACCCGTGCCGGCACGACAGATTCTCGCAATGGCGGAGGCATTCCACAGCACACGTCCGCGATGTCGGCTTTCTTAGTGAGTCTAACCGCCTTCTCAAGCCTGCAAACTAGGATACACTGACCCTGTCGAATAGAGAGTGTTTTCTTACGGCACACCAACCATTTATCTTCTTCAAGCAATTGCCGCCATCGCGGCATGCGGCTCTGGGGTCGCCCTCGCCATGGTCAATCTCGTCCTCGGAAACTTCATCAGCCTGTTAAGCGGGTTCAGCTCGGGCAACGACGTCCCTGATGACTTTATGTCGCTGGTTTCTAAGCAATCGTATGTAGTGCTGCGAATAACAGCACTCTGTGATTCCATTATTGACAAGCAACAGACTTTACTTTGTATACATAGGAATCGCTCGCTTCGGTTGCATCTACATCTACTCGACAGCCATGACATATACCGCTCTACGACTGGGCCGCAATCTGCGACGCGACTACATGCGTTCCGCGCTTCGTCAGGAAATCAGTTTCTTCGACTTCGGCAGCGTAGGATCAATATCCATGCAGGCTACCTCAAATGGCCGATTGATTCAATCTGGCACCTCGGAAAAGCTGGGGCAGATGATCCAGGCTACTGCAACCTTTGTCGCGGCATTCATCATTGCGTTCGTGAGCCAGTGGAAGCTCACACTCATATTGATCTGCATTGTGCCGGCTTTGATCCTCATGGTCGGGACTGCTGGTGGTATCGACGCAGGCATCGAGACAAGCATTCTCAAGGTCTACGCTCAAGCCGGTGCCTTCGCCGAATCATCACTGGGAAATATCCGGGCCATCAAAGCCTTCAGTCTAAGTTCAAGGATCGTTGATCAGTACACCAAGTACCTGGACGAGGCCCGTACCTTGGGCCAAAAGAAGAATGTTCTGTACGGCCTTCTATTTGCCGGAGAGTACTTTGTCATGTTTGCCGGCATGGGTCTTGCCTTTTGGCAGGGCATCACGATGATTGCTCGCGGAGAGGTTGACGATATCGGTACGGTTTTTACGTAAGTTCTTCCACCCAGTACTGCAGGCCATGCCTCACGCATATGCTTACTCTGTTCAGTGTGCTTTTCTCTGTCGTGATTGCCGCAGCCATGTTGAATTCTGTTGCTCCCAACATGGTGACTTTTACCAGAGCGGCGACAGCCGCCTCCGAATTGTTCTCTCTTATTGATCGCAAATCGAATATTGATCCATTTGATCCTGCGGGACATACCATTGCTGAGGTTGACGGATCGATCAACATCCGCGGACTGTCTTTCAGCTACCCAACTCGACCGGATATCACTGTGCTGGATGATTTCAGCCTCTACATTCCCGCCGGAAAGGTTACGGCTCTCGTGGTGAGTAGCCTCTTGGAAGAACACAGGACTGCAACCGGCTGACAACTACCCCAGGGAGCTAGTGGTTCAGGAAAAAGTACGATCATCGGACTGCTAGAAAGGTGGTATAACCCTAGCAGCGGCGAGATTACCCTCAACGATAGGCCTCTTTCAGCACTCAACCTGCAGTGGCTTCGTACAAATATGAGACTGGTTCAACAGGTACGTCAATCCAACCAAGTCCCATCACAGCGTTTCGTTGTTGATACCAGATAAAGGAACCTGTGCTCTTCAATGGTACCGTGTTTGACAATATTTCCAACGGTCTCGTTGGCACTGCGTGGGAACACGAGACTCGAGACGAGCGACTGGTACGGATAAAGGATGCGGCTAAGACGGCATTCGCGCACGACTTCATCGAGAACCTCCCGCAAGGATATGAAACGCGCATCGGTGAGAGGGGAGGTCTGCTCTCCGGCGGCCAAAAACAGCGTATTGCTATTGCACGAAGTATCATCTCGCAACCCAAAATCCTTCTGCTGGACGAAGCGACCAGCGCCCTGGACCCGCACGCCGAGGAAATTGTTCAGAAAGCACTGGATGAGGCGTCGAAAGACCGGACCACAATCGTCATCGCGCACAAGCTCAAGACCATTCAAGCTGCGGATAACATTGTAGTCATGAAGCAAGGAAAGATTGTCGAACAAGGCCAGCACCAAGACCTCGTTACCCTAGGCGGTGCATACGCAGTTCTCGTCAAGGCTCAGGATCTGTCACTCAACGAGAAGGCAAATGAATCTGAATCGGACCAAGAAGAAGATCGCAATGACTCGACCCTTGAAAAGACTCATTCACTGGGTGGGCACGATACGCTTGCGCATCAAAACTTGATCTCGCTCAGCAAGCGAGAAGATTATGAGCTCGCCAAAACTTCTGGCATCTTGTCTACAGCTGCGAAGCTTGTCAAGAGCACACCTGATCTACGGTGGTGGTATGTTCTTGCCCTGTTCACAAGCATTTTAGGAGGTAAGTCATGCCGTGACCTGTATCTTACAACTATTTAATTTGAACTAACTGTGCCAGCTGGTGTGTACCCTGGCCAGGCCCTTTTGTTGGGCAAGGTCATGGACGTGTTTTACCCCGAGCTGGACCAAAGCCGCGGCAATTTCTTTGCACTCATGTTCTTCATAATGGCCATCTGCCTTCTGTTTGTCTACATGGCCATGGGGTGGGTCAGCAATCACATTGCTCAGGTACCTGTGCCCTCTTACCCCTTGACATGCTCCATCTTCATCTAAGACTAATTGTGTTATAGGCTTATGGCCACGATGTGCGCAAGCGAATGTTTGCTGCCTACCTACAACAAGACTTGCGCTTCTTTGACCGCCCCGAGAATACGATAGGCGCCTTACGAGCCGACTCGATTCCGACGCGCAGTCTCTCTTCGAGCTCATGGCTTCAACGTTACTATGATTATGCTTTCTGTTATCACAGTTCTTATTTGCTCAGTTCTTTCCATCGTCGTGTCATGGAAACTCGGTCTTGTGGGCGTTTTTGCTGGCATTCCTCCCATGATTCTTGGTGGTTACATTCGCATCAGGGTCGAAACGAAGATGGACGCCGATATTGATGCCAAGTTTTCGAAAAGTGCATCCATCGCATCCGAGAGTGTGACAGCTATCCGCACGGTTTCATCACTTGCCATCGAAAATGATGTTCTACAACGCTATCGACGAGCTGACACGCATATCTGAGCAGCTTTCGCTCGTTCCATGATGGTGTTCTTGCCTCAACAATCCGTCGAGTCTTCGTCTGGCTCTAGCTTTGGTACTGCGATGATACAGAAGAATACAAGGTCATCGTCACTATATGAAATAGGTGGGGGTCGAAGCTCATCGCTGCCGGGGACATCAACTTCTATCAGTTCATAGTCTCCTTCATGGCTGTGTATTTCTCTGGCCAAGGCTGCGCTACTATGTTCACGTTTGCAAGCAGTAGGTCCAAACGCTGCGTGTATAAATATCTATTCATGACTACTTACACGACGCAGGCTTCACGAAGGCAAACTCTTCTGCAAACTATTTCTTCTGGCTTTGCGGCCTGGAAGCCACTGTCAGGGAGACGGACCAAAACGCAAATGTCGTACCTGCGAACGGCTGCACATCCTACGATCTCGATGGTGTGCAGTTCTCATATCCTCTTGCTCCTGATAACCGTGTGCTCAAGGGCGTATCAATGACCATCCGTCCAGGACAATACGTTGCTTTTGTGGGGGCCTCGGAGTGTGCAAAAGTACGATGGTGTCTCTTCCTGAGCGGTTCTATGATCCGACGAGTGGTCGGATCACCGTCGATGGCTCACAAGATCTTGCCGATATTAATCCTAGGCTCTATCGGCGCGCTGTTTCTCTCGTGCAGCAAGAGACCCGCACTATTCCCAGGCACCATCAGAGACAACGTTTCCATGGGTGTCGATCAGGATGATAGTGGGGAGATAACCATCGATGACCCCTACCATCGAAACTGCTCTTCGCGCTGCTAACGCCTGGGATTTTGTCAGTTCGCTCCCAGAGGGCCTCAACACCTCTTGCGGCACGGGCGGGGCACAACTCTCTGGTGGACAGCGACAGCGTATAGCAATTGCTCGAGCACTTATTCGCAATCCGAGGGTCATTCTCCTGGATGAAGCCACAAGTGCTTTGGACACCGAGTCCGAAAGAATAGTGCAAGCCGCTCTGATGGAAGCTGCTTCAACCGACAACAAGATCACGATTGCAGTTGCTCATCGTTTGTCAACAATCACAAACGCAGATCGTATTTTCGTCTTCTATAGCGGACGAATTGTTGAGGCGGGGACACACTCAGAACTTCTTGCCCGGGGCGGTATGTATGCTAAGATGTGCGAAGCTCAGAACCTTCAAAAAGCTCTTTAGGCATTAATAATTCCTGTTTTCGACGCATATTTTGTTTTCTTTGCCAATTCTCAACTTCCACAGCAGATACCTTCTCATCACTATGTACTCCTAAATAATATTGTTTGCGCAGAAGCACACTCTGTGTGGATCTCTGGGTCGACTGTTTCTTTCTAGAACACGTCGTAGTGAGCGTCTCAAAGCGGTTGCGAGGTGAGCCCAATACTCATCCATGTAATTTTCATTCATCGGCCCTGAAGTAGATGGCATCGGAGTCACGCTCAAAGAGTGAATTCGAGGCACGATAGGGCCGAACTTCGAGACGCGTTCTCTTAGGCATGTGCACATCAGAAAGGATCATCATCCATTTTCGTGAATCTAACGATCACGAGACCTTCGTCTAGTACAAAGACTGTTATCTTCTGTGACCGTAATCCCGGTTTTCAAACGGCCCGCAAAGCCCCCTTCGGTCAATATAGCCTCTTCACTTTAATTCAAGTCTCTCGTAAACATGGCGTTCGTTTCGGTGAATGGATCGCCGAACCCCAACTCAGGCTCGTACTGGTGTTGAATACCCGTTTGCCTACTCGACCCTACCAGGTGCAGTTCGATAGGGGTATCACCAACCATCGGGCTGCTCTTGTGGTATTGTATTGAAGGAGCTGATCGACCATTGGAGGAGTTTTCGCAATTCTCATGTACAGCGGGATGATAGTTGTCACTGCAATACAGACGAGAGTAACTGCCATCTCGGCAGCACACCACACGACCAGCGCGACAGTGTCTCCCGGTTCGGTATACAAACGTTAGTCTATCGAGAACAGAAAAAAGAAATAACTGGAAATGAATAGTTTTCGCTCCGTAGACCTGGAAGATGGATGGTTGGGACGATTCCACATATCGCATCGCTGTTTCATGTCAGTTGCTGAGTATTCGCGAGGGGTTTGACTATAACAACACACAGTATTCCAAAGCTCAGACTAATGCCGACGATGGCTTTCTCTCTTCTTTTCATTTCGAGCCGGCTGATGAAGATCCACGGGAAGGCGGCGAAGAACAGATCCACGAACACGCAAAAACCTGTTGTTTTATGTCAACAGCGTGTACCATGACGGCAATGCCCTGAAAGCCAGCTTGAACTTACAGCCAAGCAAAATTGCGGAAGGAACTGGCTTTATGATACAATGTTCTTCACCTCTTGATTCATAGATGCGCGGCGCTGGCAGACACTTGGCCCCTGTTAGTGGCCAGTATCGAGGGGTAGCTATCATGGCGTATCCTATCTGGAACCAGCACAAGATGGCCGTCATGCAAGAGGCGAACAAGAGTGAGCCTCCGGCGCCCCAGATGGACA